TACAGGATTATCTGAACCAGTGGCAAATACTATTTTTAGATGGAAGTTACAATGCCACCATACAGGGCTAAATTTGGAAGTGAAAACAATAGGTGTTGAATAGGCATATGCTACACTACCACTGTGCAAAAAGGAATTGGTGAGAATTATGAAAAAAATACACCCTTCTGTAGAACAGGTGGACTCTTACCTAGCTACCATAACAGAGAATCACAGTTCTAAGCCAAAATAGCTCCCACTTCTCCAAGTTAGGGAAACTTACCAGTCCCTTTTGGAGTATGAGTATATCCACATTCAACTGCACATCGGCTAGGGGAAAACACAAAACAAAACTGCAATGTCCTAGTGGCAGAGAGCAAAGATTTGGCCTTCTTTCTCCAGAAGAAAACCAAGCAGAACAGCCTTACCTAAGGTAGGGTTGCTTTAGACCTAAAACACATCATCTGTAAACAAAGTATTTGCCATCTCAACCAGAAGTTATTGCACTCGGACAGATTAAATCACTTGTATCAATCCAGAGCATTCAGTTCAGTCAACAATATAGGGTATAAGTATTTGACAATTAAAGAAGTGATAAGGAAAATTTTTGGAAAAGATAATGATGTCTCTACATGTAACTTTTCTTGACATACTGCTGTAAGGCACAGGGAATTCTATATTACAAAATATAAAAGGGAGATGGGGCAATTCCCAGTGCACTGAAGGTTTAAGCTTTTGGGCAGGAACTTGCTTTTAACTAATGCAAGACATTTTCTACAAAGCAAATAGCAAGCAAATGAACCAGTACTTTCTCATGTTTGTGTATTACATAGCAGAGTTGCAGCTTCTTAGGAATGATGAGTCATGATAATAAAATCCAGTGCTTGAGATTGTATTCTGCAATTAGCCCAGTTTACTAAGGAAGCAAAACTCATGCAAACATGCTGCCTACATGTATTTCAAGAAAGGCTATAATCAATAGCCTGAGGTGGGGGGGAAAAGGCCAATTTTCAAGCAAATTTGACAGGACAGGAAAAGTTACTGGAAGGTAGCCCAAGAAGATACAAATTCACGTGGCTGTTTTCTATGAGGATTCTGATTTCAAATAAGGACTGAGCTATCTCTATTAAACTAAAGCTGCAGCGTAAGTCAAATCAGCCATCAGATAAATCTACTGGAACGCAACCTTCAGTAGGTCCAGAGCTCATGAAGCTATTTCTTCCTCTCCACAGCAAGCACTTGCCTAGAAAGCAAGTTTCTTGTCAGATACAAAGTAGGGGCATGTTTCCATATACATTTATCAGTGTGTGACACTGAGAAAAGAGAACAGCTATAGAAAGATAGGACTTAAATATCCTCATGTAGTTCGATCAATGACTTGCTTTATTATTCCGCATATGAAATTAAACAGTCCAGATTAAGACAGAAAAAAAATCACTTTGGTATCTTTTCATTCTTTTTCCTAAATTTGTGCGTCTCAAAATAACAAATCTTAAAAGACATAACATTGTTCTAACAGTTTTTGCTATATGATGATACAAATGTAATTTTTTTTTCTGATCAATGCTTTACCCTTATGACATGTATCCAACCACATATTATGTCCCTCTTAGCACTGGAAGCAGTACAGATGACAGAACACATTTGAATCCAACAGTAGTTTATTATCCACTCATTGCAGGTGAAGGTAAACAGTTCAGTTACCAGTTAATGAGAGTTTAAATATTAGTTGACAACTGCAGAAAGTGTACAATGCATACAAAAGCATTAACCATAACAAAAAAGTTCAGATGTATTAATTTTTAACTATCAGGTTGTACACTGTAATACCGCAACCGTTCTGTGATCCCCCCCCCAAATTAGGAAAAAAGTTCTCTAAGAGGTTGAGAGTCTGGGGGCTAGAACTGCATTATTTCCTGAAATACTACTAACATACAGCCTCACCTAATACAGACAAAGCTATTTTATGTTTTATGGACAGTTGCTTTATCAGGAAACACAATAACAAAAAAACCTACACATAAAAAAATTAAACTCCAATATGCAAAAATATATATTTACACACATCTGTATTGTCCTACAGATCCCATATAAATCAAGTATAGGCCAAATTTTGGCATTGTATTTAAGTGCATGAAGTTTAGTACAAAATCTCACTCAGACTTTGCTCTTACTTTTCAAGTTACTATCTCCTGGACTGATCTTTTCCAATTACAGTATTTTGAATTACTTGCATTGTATTACAAATTTGTTTCTATTTCAGGATTATCAGCCTTAATTTTCATTACACTTTAACAACGTTGTGCGAAAATTTACTAATTGTTTTTCCTGTACTAATAAAATGCTCCAAATTGATAGGGCTTTTGTTTACACTTACTAGTCAGCATCTTTACAGTACTATTCTCCTACGTAATCTCTATTCTTTGATCCTACAGGAACAGTTGATTATATATTGCAAGCACATATTGCTTTATTTCATTTTGTTAAATGGACTCTTACCAACATGCAAATTACTTCCGGTGAAGAATGGAGTGCAAAAAAAATTTTCCAATGCATAGTAAGTTTGCTTAATCTGCAGCATGTGATACTCGCAGTTTAGAGAACCCCTGAAGAGCAATATCCTCTCTGCCACATGGTATCTGATTTTGTTTTCAAATTATAGGGTATTTTGCTTTTGATGCAAGAAGTACTGTAGGAAGAAAACAACATTAGTGATCCAGCTAATCTATTGATTTGACAAATATGACACTCACGGTCAGTTTTAAAATAGGCCTATATTTTGTGCCAAAACAAAAAGGCCACTTAAGCTTTTGGCTAGAATAGTATCCTGCATCAAGTCACTGAATGAAACTTCCACACAAAAGTCAAAGTTTCTTCAAAGTAACTTGTAGAATATAGCAAACTGTACAATCCAGAAACATTCTAAATTAGACAAAAAACCCTTGAGAACCAATTATAGTACAGTAAGTTTTGAGTCACAATACCCCCCACAATTAATTCTCCTTCTATTATTCTGTCTGCGGATGTTATTCTGGGATCTTGTCATTCAACATGGTTATGATTCAGAGGGAAAGACATCAATTCACTGTTGTAAACATACAACTAGTTCCAGCTAAGAAACTGCTTCCAACTTACACTCTTTAAAAGTCTTGTAAAACTGGGCTAAGTATGTTTTTATAAACAACAATCTCTCGGTTCTCAAAAGCAAAGACATTACGTTTCTATCTTAGAAGGTAAGTCAGGTCACATACACACTCATGCCTATATGCATGTCAGAGCACGGACATGACATTCAGGGTTCACTTTCAGTGTAGTACGTAAGGAACTAAATACAGAACTTCCCCCAAAAATTAATAGGGGTTAGACAGCTATGCCCTCTTACATCATTGAATTATTAAATATCTTATATATTATGTGTTAAAAATCTTCTTTCATGTCGAGAAAGCAAATACTGGAATACAAACAACTTTCAGCGCAACAGATGTATTTACTTATAGCATGCAAGGTTTGTTTTTATGTATTTGAGCAGCTAACAGCCACTAACAGCCCTTAAATATTTACAAGTTCAAAATGACAATCTTTACATAAGCACTATTTTTGCAACTACTTACAAATAATTCAGGACATTCCCTAGGAAATAAACAAGACATGAGTAACAAATAGTGAAAGAAATACTAAAATATAATAGCAAAGGAAAACATGATAGCTTTAAAAATCCAGATATGTTAACACTGTTTGGTTAAAACAAACAAATAAAAAAATCCCCAAAACACAATACATTTAGAGATGCTTTTTAAAAAAAAAAACAACGCGTCTTTCTGTCTTTTCAGGAACTTAAAACAAGGTTCCGATTAAGCAAACAAAATACTACTTCCTTTGGTTTGCCAATTTACCTTAAAATAGCTCTTTTTTTTTCTTTTTTCAATTTGCAAGGTTAGTATTAAGGCATATGTGATCAGAGGCGCAAGAGCTTTATATGTGATCACACAGAAGAAAGATGCTTCAACCCCAGTTTCTATCCCAGGAAGCAAAAGTAATAGCTTTCATGTAAACATGCAACTTTTTTCAAAAGAACAGATTCTAAAGATATACCCAAGATGCGATGTCTATGCTAGTCCTATTTGAGGGCCAGGTCAGAAAAAAGTTCTGCTCCTATGTTTAAGGCAGGTATCTTGAGACTAATTAGGGTCTCTCCAGCCTTTTGGGAAACAGAATTTTGTGTTTAATTACACTCTACGCTATCATTAGTGTCAGTTTTATATTGCATATAGTAATCAGATAAGATAAACATTGTTCATACCTTTTTGTAATAAATGTATATCTACATCTGCTTCTATAAAATAGTATTAATTTTCTTTTTAGGACTATACAACCTAGAACTGAGAAAGTTCACTAGCAGTGACACATGAATAATTGTTTCTGCACTGCTTCAAAAGCTTTCAAATGTATTATCCTTCCGAAAAGACATTTAACTACCTTCTTAAAGCTACGTTAAACTTCTTCAAGTAGGAACTTCAAGTTCCTATAAATAATTTGGTACCAGCTGATGTTCACACAACAAACATTTATGTTCAACTCTAGCAAGAGTTTAGGGCAAAGAAAGTGCTCAAGTTTTACTTATTGTTTTGTTATGACTGATGTGAAGGAATCTTAAGATACTATTAATCAAAAATATACTAAAATAAAAAAAATCTATGTTTTTGCATTCC